GTAACCGCCGACACCAAGATTAGAAATAACAATACCAGGATAAAGTTGGGAAATACATTTCTTTAAATAGATATTTATATTTGGAATTTGATATTTATTTTAAATATTTTTTTATAATCCTTTTAAAGTTGAAAGAAAATGTATTAAGCTTAATTTCTATTGCAATTGCAATAAAAAATGAATTTATAAATATCCTTATTAATTTATTACATAAATTTTACTTTCGAGCAAGTAAATTTAAAAGTAAATATTGATTATAAAACTATTTTGTTAAAACAAAATTGAAAGGTTTGTTAAAAATCAATTTCTTATCTTAAAAAAATATAATAAATAAATAAATTAAAATTAAACGATTTTTTAATACAAATCCCACATTTATTATAATGTTATTTCTATTCCTGCTAAAAAAAAGTCCTCAAATAAAACAGCTGTGACCATGCTTAGGCAATATCCCCAAATATTTTGTTGACAATTTAAAGCCTAAAAATGATTTCGCATATCGATCGAGTAAATATGAATAATAGCTCTTAATTGCGATTATTTCCGCCAACACCTTCTGTTTGCCAAGTGGAAATATTGATTGTGGCTTTGGCATTTGGCTTAGGCGCTGGCTCAGTCTGTATTTGATCTGCCAACCGGATGCCCATTAAGCGAAACTGCCACCAAATATTTATAGTTTAGTTTTTTCATTGATTCAATAAGCGAGCCAAATCACTATTTGTTAGCCACCTCTGAGTTGTGTGCAAATTTCGGCGGAGAGTCAACAGAAAACGTACGATTTGTGAGGAACAAACACAAGATAGTTGCTCCTCGAATAATTACACCCACATTAGAATATTTTCTAAGCATCCAATGCGCCAGTGTTTATGCAGTTATGATTTAGTGCAATATTTTGTGGGCATAAAACATTTCAATGCTGCCCCGAGAATAAAAACGAAAGACACAATAAATATTTTTGGCTGCAGTCCAGACAAACATATAAAGATCTTTATATTGAGAACTGCAATCATATTTGTGTTTAGGTTTTCATTTCTATAATTTTGTTTTGGTCTAACTTCATTTGGTTTCTGGGTTAACAGTAGTAGGTCCATAGCCGGGCTTTTAATTACCGTAATTATTAATTAACTTAAATGAGCTATTAACTCACTAAAAGAGCTGATTTGTTTTGTTTACCTTATTAATGAAAATACAGTTTAGCTAATTGAAAGCGAAAAATGTTAACTAAGAAGGAAATTTAAATATCTTTTAATAATCAGAACACAAATTTCTGTTATAATCTTAATCTTAATCAATATTAATAAAAAATAAACCATAATTTAAAGTACATGTACATATTTTAAGAATACTTCGGTCCAAGTAATTCTCATCCTTTTAAAGTTTTCCCTCAATAATTATAAACTATATAAAGCTAGATTTCCTTTACTGTCATTAAAAAATTGCTGCCTTCATCCAAGTATTTTCACTTTTCGCACGCAGAAAAAACTAAAGCAATTTTCACATCGTTGCTGGAATATTTTGTGCTGTATACATATTAATTTATTCAAAATTCAGCCGAAAAGAAAAGCCAGAAATTCCTGACAAACTTGTAGACAAGTTAACCGAAAAAAAATAAAAAAGCAAGATGTAAAACGCAACTGCCGGAACGGCCAGGTTAACCCAAAATGCCTTACATGGCTTGACTTACTGCCCAGGCAGACAGTTTGAATGTGGCTGAGGCAGGCAAGTCATAAATATATATATAAGCATATAGATATATTCATACAGCCAGCCAGCTGGGGAGTTTTCCTTCTTCAGAGCCGGGAGTTGCAGGATTGTGGGCGTCGTTGACATGACTCGCGGCGCAGGCCAATAATTATTATAGAATACTTTGGTATAATAGGTGAATTTACATATGTTGGGCCGACACAAATGGGTGGCTTCTCGCGCCTTCACACAACAATTCGAGTTGGAGGCTGTTAGCCAAGATACTGCAACCAAAAAAAGTATCTCATATAATTCAGGCATTTCAAAAATATTTAAGGATTTTATTATCATTAATAGTAATTCAATCCGATAAGTTAAGAGAGTTTCCTATTGGTTTAGCTTTAAATTCACCATGGAAAGGCCTTCTCCAAATCCCACTCATATTTGAAAGACCAAGAAAGTCTCCTTTGGTTTTGGTGTAGCTACCTTTTGATACACTTTTCCCGTCAGCCGGCGAAAGAGGAACTAAACGGGATCACTTACTGCTGCCAATTTCGGTTAATTAGCTTGGGACCTTTAAACGAAAAACTGAAAGAGCTTAGGAAGAAAAGACCGGACCAAGAGAGACACTCTCTTGTTTATTATGTAATAAAAATGCATACAAATGTGCGCTAATTGTTGCATGTCGGCCCTCGAAAGCATTTTTTCTCACTTCGTTCGAACCATTTTTCGCCGCCTCGTGACGCTTTGAGAGGTTTGAGGTGGGCCAAGTCCACTCAAAGGTTTAATTTTTTTTTGTCCCTGCTGTCATCTCAAGTTTCCGGTTTGTAGCACTGAAGATGCAATGGAGACGACAGTACAGAGGCGTAAGGTGGTGTCTGGGGTATAAGTAAAACTGAATTTTTTTTATAAGATAAAATATGTAAATATGTAATATGTTATGGTTTAAATTATAACTCTTGTAAAGCTTATTGTTTTATTTGTATAAATGGATTAGATAGATATAAAAGCTCTTAACAAAATATTTATTTGTATTATCATTTAAGCTTCTAGGACCATAATTGTTATTATCATTATCTAAATTAGGGTATTAAGTATTCGAGTCTCGGCAACTTTTATTTGCTTAGGTCAGTTACTTCAATTTCAATTGCATTTTTATCTGTCTTGGCTGCTCGCTCGCTTGTTGATGTTTATACACGTCAAAAAGGCATTGTTGTTGAAATACTTTTTTGTTTATTTGATTTCGTATTTATTTGGACAAAATATTTCTCTTCTACACCATACAAACAACAATATTTATGGTAAACCAAGATTATTTGTTATAAATAGCTAAGCAAACTATTTAGTCTAATAAAATATATCTATATTAAGAGGCGATAGAGGCAATTTTAAGCTTAAACAGCCTCTTAAAATTTAAGCTCACTTGAGTTCTATAAACCTCACTATAACGAACAATCTGAACTAGATAAAACAGACTTTGCCAGCATCTTATACCTCATATTTGCATATTTACTTTGTCTTGTGCTCAAAGCCTTAATCCCAATAAAGTTCTTGTGACGGAAATGGGAAAACCCAGCGAGAGAGAAAGTAAAACGTCCCATTGCGACTTAATCTCCAGAATAAAGAAGCAGGAAATTCACACATATTCAACCATTTTAATTGGCAACAATAGAGCTGCAGCCATGACATAATATATGAACGTATTCCGTGCCATATGCATATATTTAAAAGAATTTACTCAGGCCCCCCTGTAAAGTCGCAATTAATTGCGCGAATTGTTGAAAGCGGTCAGTGACCAAAATGAACCAAAAAAAAAAAACTTTACAACATTGAAATGACGCATATATTTTGGCTATCTCGTAATTAAAATTATCTTGGTCTCAACTTGACATAATTATATCAACGTGCATAATTTATTTATAAACTGTCAACGCCCCCGAAATTGTTCACAATTATTTACCTTACGCACTCTTCACATTTCCTTGGATGGGATAAATATTGTATGCAAAAGCTGTCTGCTTAATTAGTTTGATGGCTTTTACATTTGCCCTGTCAGATCTTGAAACCATTTTTATACCCTTGCAGGGTATTATAATTTCAGTCAGAAGTTTGCAACGCAGTGAAGAAGACTTTTCCGACCCTATAAAGTACATATATTCTTGATCAGCATCAACAGGGGAATCTTTCTAGATATGCCAGGAAGAAATCAATTTTTTGGCCATTTTTGCAAAATTTTAGTTACATCATTAAAATTAGAAAAAATTTCCAAAAATTTTGGTTTCTTAAAATTTTTAATTTGGTATGCAGTTTTTTTTAATTAATCAAAACTAACACAAAACTGCTTTCCGAATCGAAATTAATGCATTTTTGGCTTAGTTATAAAATATTTTAATTGTTACCTGCAAGGGTATACAATCTTTGGCTGGCCAAAGTTAGCTTTCTTTCTTGTTACACCAAAAATCCGTCAAAATTGCAAAAATATATTTATTTGCAAGCACCAAGCACCACAATGACAAGATGTTGATAAATGGTTTTTCTATTTATAATGTATTTCTTGTTGTGGTTTCTAAATACCGAGTGTATTTGTTTTGAGAGGAATCTTGATTCTCAGATTGACAAGCGTTTTGAACTGTGAATTACCCCAAAGAATAATTATAAAATTCCCACTTACTGAAAGTCAGCTGATAAGATCGTTCAGAATTCATATTATTTCTGAGTTCGACGAGCAAAATACTCGGCTCTCGCACCTCTCCGCTTAGCTTTTTCACAGCTGCTGCTGCTGTTCGCTTCGCTCGTTAAAACAATAAAAACAAAACGTTCTCATTGTCACTTGTGGAGTTATTTGTTTTCCATATTTACATACTTCGCACCTCCGTCAGTAGTCAGTCGAGTATTATGGCTTGCTCTAGATATTTACCTCTCCGCTGCAATCAGCTGAATAAGACTCCAACGTGGCTGTTTAGGGGTTCTTACTTGCTTTGCGGATATTAAAGCCATCGCAGCACGGTCACAGCTGTTTGTTGTTTGATTTACCAAATACATTATCACATTTATCAACCGCAATTAGGGACCCAAAAATATATATCGAATGTAAGAAAAATGCTGCTACAATTCGTTATGAAGTTCATTTGTTGTGAGTTGAAAAAGCTGAAAACCAACCTGACCATGTTTCTAATATTCTTCTGGATTATATGGTTCTCGCAAATAATAGCCATATCAACGGTGTTCATGAGGTGGGATATTGATTGCTTGACATCATAATATTTCTATATGCAATTTGGTTTTAATTTTGTCAATATTATTATTTATATTTGCAGCTTTCCGGAGATCATCACTGAGCTGCCAACTGTCACAGTCACAGAGCTGCCTCTGGATCGCATCAAGAACCGCCTGGATTCGGTTATTCTGGATGATGTCCAGGCTCCTGCGAGCAACAAAAGCGACGAGGAGCAGCCGCCTTCACAGGATCATCCTCCGAAATTGCACGAGGCTGCCAAGGATGAGCCTCAAAAGGGTAAGAATACTCAAAATAACAAACAATTCTTCTTCAAATATTAAAATTACATCTTATCTGATTTCAGATGAGCAACTGCCGAAGATAAACGATCCTGGAGGAGGCCTCGAAACGGATGGATTAGCCACCCCAGAAGCTACACCGCCCTTTACCGATAGCAATGAGACCAGCGAAGAGCAGGCGCCCGGATTGCCCTCCAATGAAACAGAGGCAACAACGAATCTGACAAAGGCCAACGAGGAGGTGCCCATGCCCGTGTTTTCAGAGTGGACACAGAAGCAAATGGAGGCTGAGGCCAGCCGGGAGCAGGCCATTGAGCTGGAGCAACAGGTGGTGAATAATTCGGCCCAGCGTAGGAACAAAACGGGCTCCACGAGCCGGAAGCCACCGACGCTCAAGCTGCGCTCCAAGAACTACGCCTCGCCGGACTGCGGGGCCAAGATTATAGCCCACAATTCGGAGTCCAAGCACACGGACCATGTGCTCACCCAGTCCACCGATGAGTACATGCTGAGCCCGTGCGACCATCGGATTTGGTTCGTGGTGGAGCTGTGCGAGGCCATTCAGGCCCAGAAGGTGGACGTGGCCAACTTTGAGCTCTTCAGCTCCTCGCCCAAAAACTTCACGGTGGCCGTATCGAAGCGCTTTCCCACCAGGGAGTGGAGTAATGTGGGTCGCTTTGCGGGCGAGGACAAGCGCACACTTCAGACCTTCGATCTGCATCCGCATCTCTTTGGGAAGTTTGTGCGGGTGGACATCACCTCGCACTACGCCGCCGAGCATTACTGCCCCCTTACGCTCTTTAGGGTATTTGGAACCTCCGAGTACGAGGCTTTCGAGACTGAAATCCGGCCGGGCGAAGATCTGGATGACTTCTACGATGACTTTGGAGCTCAAGAGGGCCAGAAGGCAACCGTGGTGGGCAGCGGTGGCATCTTCCAGAGCGCCTCCGATGCGGTGATGCAGATAGTGAAGAAGGCCGCGGAGGTCCTGGTGAAGCCGACAAAGGCTCTGAAGTGGCAAGAAGAATCGATGCTCTGCCGCACGCCCGCCTTTGGAGCCTACAGCTGCAGCAACTGCAACAGCACCCTCGTGGAGAGGATCAACAGCCTGATATCCTGCCAGTTCCAGCAGCTACAGGCTCTGCTAAGTCTCAGTCGCTTGAGGACCGATCTACTGCAGAGTCGCGTGTGCCAAGAAGATTTCGGCATTAGCCTAATGGTGGATGCGAATTCATCGAGCAAAATGGGCAGGCAGCAAAGCTATTTCCTCAGCATGCTGCCGACGGAGCACCTTGGAGCCATGTGCAAGCTCATCGAGGCAGAGCAGAATGTCTCCGATCACCACCAGCAGACGGCCATGAAGCACCAGGTCAGTCCGCCCGAGCAGCTGCAGGATAATGCCACATCATCGGGCGTTCGTCAGGATTGTGAGGCGAGCGAAGGAGGAAGCCCGGAGAAGAAGACCCCGCCCCAGGAGCCGGCCTCAACGCAAAGCCCGGAGTTTGTGGTGCCTGAGACTAGCCAGGAGATGCCTTCGTTGGAAATTCAGCCATCGACATCCAGCGAAACTGTTTCCACCACCACCAATTCCACGCCAGCCGATGTGAATATATTCAATGTGCCAGTCGAAGCCGAGGAAGTGGTGGTCAAGGAGCAACTACCAGTTGCCCCAGAGCCCACTATTCCAACCACCCTGGAGCCCAGCGACGTGGAGACCTCATCCAGTGCGCCGTCAATTAGTGCAGGAGCTCAAACCTCCAGCGAAGCGCCGGCCAATGGCGATCTTGTCATCGAGGAGGGAAATCCTGCCAATTGGGAGAGCATTGATAATCTCCTGACCACCACCACGGTGGCGTCGATAACCGCTGGCGGTGGAGCAGCCGCCGCTGCGGCTGCAGTTGTAAGTGGCAACGGCAATTTGGGTGTGGCGGGCGCTGGGGCTGGAGGCGCAGCAGCTGGATCTGGCGTAAATCTGCAGCAGAAGCTGACAAATGGCGCCCAGTCGGAGAGTGTGTTCATCAGGCTCTCGAATCGCATCAAGGTGAGTGTTTTTGAGTGGGAATCATCTCTTTCTCTTCACTCCTGTGCGTCATCCGTTGGCGTGGTGAGGAAAATAGAAATAAACAAAAAATCGAACTAGCAACTAGCCCAGGCAACCGCCCACACAGACTGTGTGGAGTGTGGAGCCGCAGAAACCTTCACAGGAAGACAGAGGCAAAATTATACGCTTGCCAAGAGTCCTATAATTATGGTAACCAGGATAGTATTGTCAAAAGGAGGCACTGATTTCATTGAGTTGAAAACCTACAATAAGCTTATGATGAGCTGTGAACCCAAAATCATTATCTACCCTTTTGCTCAGTAGTTTTCCATAAGTTACCATGAAAATAATCATGGGTTTCTCCGATGTTTTCACTGCTTTAAAAGTAAAGTTCTGCTTTATATTTTAACAAAAAAGACTAAACCATTTTTTAGGGTATTTCCCACGTCGACTTCCCGCTGTGCCATTCTCTTTGTGACTTGTTTATAGTCTACTTGCGTGCTGGCTGCTCATTACAAGCGCCAGGCAGCCACTTCCCGTTTGGACTCCGCCCAATGGGCTCCATCCTTGTAACAGTTCTGCCAGGTTAGCCAGTTTGCTACCTTGCCGACCGACGTCATCAACATACATATGCGAACCCATTCATATCCCTACAATTAAAGCTACACAAGTGAAAAGTGATACTAGTTTTGCAAAATAATCCCTTCAAGTTCAACTATATTCGGGGTTTTCCTTTAATATTTTTGCTTATTTTGTTTAATACATTTTTGTGTACAATTTTGTAGACAAATTATCTTCATATTTTAAATAATTCTATTAAATAAAATTCAAGTATAATTCACATTTTTTCTCTGTGTACACCCCCTACACAACATTCGCTAACCGCTGGCATTGGACAACGCTTTCTGTCTTCCACAGGCGCTCGAACGGAACATGTCGCTGTCGGGACAGTACCTGGAGGAGCTCTCGCGGCGCTACAAGAAGCAGGTGGAGGAGCTGCAGCAAACGCTGACGCAACAGACGCTGACCGTGCGCCAGCTGGAGGACCAGAGTCGGCGCTACGTGGAGCAGGAGCAGCTCTTCCAGCAGCAGAGCGCCGAGCTGGCCGGCGAGGTGCGGGCGCTGAGCTACCAAGTGCAGGCCTGCATCCTGGTCATCATCATCGTGGGCACCTGTATTTTTCTTATGCTTGTCCTGGGCACCGTCTATTATCGCAAACTACGACGTCAGCAGCTACACCTGAAAAAGGAGCAAGGCGATCCACCTGTAGCACCAATTAAGCCCAAGTTGGATCGACGCAAGTCCTACGAACAGATGCTGACCCTATCCACGCCCAAGCAGCGACGTCCCAGCGAGGAGGCCATGCTTATTCTGAAGGAGTGCGGCGATAGCAACGCCCAGGAGCTGGAGCGGCAGCAGGACGACCCTTCGAACAGACAGCGCAAGATTTCCGTGTGCTACGGCAGTAACAACAACATTGCCGCCAATATGCTCAGTGCCGGTGTCCGGAGCTCCCTGCACAGGCGCAAGGGGGCCAAGCACTCCTGGCACAGCAGTCTGGACACCACTGAAACACCATACGGCGAGCAGGCGGACAAGTTCTTCGATGTGGACACCCTTAAAAGCCAGAAGCAGAGCTCCGGGAAGGCGGGCAAAAAGAAATCATTGCAACAGCAGCTGGGCTTCAAGCGTCAGGAGTCTGCGCCGGCGAGCTTCACGCAGACTAAGCTGGCCGAGGAACCCACTACGCAGAGTGACTTTGACGAGAGTCTAATGCTGGACGACGACGACCTGGCTAACTTTCTGCCCAACAGCGATTTGGCGTACAATGAGTTCATGCCCGAGGGTCCCTCGGGATACCAGATACTGGACACGGTGGACGGAGGCGGCAAGCCGGTGAGCAAGGAGCAGCAGGGCACTAAGAAGTCACGTCGCCTCTCCTCGCCAGCGTTTTTCAAATCGCCATTTAGCAAGAGCAAGAACAAGGGCTACGCCTTCAATAATGGCATCAAGAACAGCCACTCGGTGCACGAGCCCACCTCCTGGGAGTGGTACCGTCTGAGGCGGAGCGAGAAGCATCAGCAGGTGAAGCTAGCCAGCAAGAGCCTGCCCAGCGCCAGCTTGGACAGCTCCTCGCTGTCGGAGGTCAATTTTCCACTCAATACCAATGCTACCGCCACGCAGAACTCCTTCCGGATACTCGGCGAGGCCATTCTCTCCTCTGGCGAGGGCAGGGTCACGCCGAACGGCAATGGGGTTGGTCTCGCCAGCAGCAGCAGCGGGAGCGGCAGCGGAGGCAGCACCACCTCGTCAACCACCAAGAAGAAGCAGCGCGCCTTTAACAACCTATTTCGCAAGGCCTTTGATTTTTAGCTAGGATCCAGTGATTTCCCATTTGATAATTTTAGATTTTTGTAATTACGAAGTTCGGTGGCCCCTACATTGGTGTTGCAAAATTAATTCTACATGTTGTGTACAAATAAATTGTTATTATTTTTTTTGAAGATTTTCGAAGAAGAGGAGGCACGAGAAGCTCGAGACGGAATGATCAGAGTTCCTTTTTTGTGTTGCAGTGAAATGCAAATGACTGTTAAGCGAAAAACAACAAATTTAAGTATAGTACTTATGTATATTTTGTAGTCCGCTTGCTTGGCGTAGCTTAGACCCAGCTAGGTTATATTCCAGGCCTCGATATTCTTGCTATATATGTTCGCCCAATCCCACGATTATGTACGTACTTTAAGTGAACGAAACATCTGCAAATTATTGCCACATTTAGTTTGTTATTGCTAGCTATTTCTACATACAATTAGTTAATTAGTTTAGTCTTTATTTATAAATAAACATATAATTAACATTTATTTAAAAACACGGCCTGTCTCTTCTCTATATGATTGTTCTATATATAAGATGATTATATTTTCAACTCGCCCAGAAACTCTGCCACCTCGAGGGCATCCTCGTTGGCCAGCTTGGTCTCCCTAACGGCACTGTTCAGAGCCCTGCCAGCGGTGCCCAGACTCTTCTTCCAATGCTCAACAGTTTTGTACTTGGCGTCGTTGGCGCAGTAGACAATCTCATTGATATCTTCGTCTAATTTGTAGGTACAAACGGCTGGGAAAACTTTATGCAAATTGTCAATGGCTTCGCTTCGCAGGGCTTCGTCGCGACACACCAGATTGAGCATAAATAGACCCTTCGGGCCGATGATCTCCTTGATGTGCTGCAGGACTTCATTGGCCAGGAAGCTGGGGGGTGGACAACTCATGCCCAAGCTGAGATCCTTGCTGTCCACATCGAACAGAACGGCATCGAAGTGAATATCTGGAAATCATTTCATTTAATTTTATGAAAACTTAAAACTTCAAGTAAAAAATAAGTAAAAAACCCACCTTCATTGCGACAGCGCTCCACAAAAGCCAGGCCATCGTCAATGACCACATGGAAGCGCTTATCCTGTTTCAGCTCGAAATACTGCTCGGCCACCTCCAACATGATGGGATCAATTTCCACAGCCGTTATTCTAGTGTGACTGCAAGGGAAACGTATTGAATTAATAAAGTAACCCCTTAACTTCATTAAAAACTCACGGTAAAGCGGCATGAAGAAAACTGCACAGGCCGCCGCCTCCCAGGCCAATGACAAGAACATCTTTTTGCACATCTTTTTTGGGATTCTGCAGCGTCGTGGCCAATTGGACTCCCACGGACATGTAGAGGTGGTGTTGGCAGGCCAAGTAGCCAAAGTCGATCTTCTTTCGTTCCTTATTGCCCTTGATTTTTACTTTAAAGGAAATTCATTATTAAAGTGTTCAAGTTTAGGCCTATGCTGCATACTCGTCTTAACCAAAGCCTCCGACTGCACCACAAACTGATTGCTGAGGAATATCAGGCGTCGCAGGGTTTTGTCGTTGGCCTCCACTTCCTCGATGCGGAAATCTCCCGATATTTTGGAAAATCCACAAATTAAGGTCTCTCTCTTGCCCACATCGGAGCCCAGCGAGAGGTATGGAATCTGTTCGCTGAGACCAGCTGGGGACAGGTTTTTTATGCTATCGGCCAGCTCAGATTTCACTTCATCAAGGGTACTGTAGACTTGGTCGCGATGCAGGGTTACCACAGCCAGTCGCTGGAATTTGGCCGACTCCTGAAGCTTTCTCCTCCCTGCAGGCGTGGCAAATAGCCACTCCACCTCTCTTCCCTGGGGAACAATGAAAGCCGCATACTTGCCGAGACCTCGGGCTGGCGGCTGGTCCAGAATGTGGATGGTATAGCGAGGGGCTGGTTCCGAGGGCCGATGCAGATCCATGGTCACCTCATTGTGTCCGGCAATGTTGGATCTGGCCAATCCGTTGCACACCAAAGCAGCCTTTTGCACCGAGGAAACGGCATTGATGAGCTCCTTAGATGTGCTGAATCTCTGCATCTTATCGCTGCCGAAGCCAAACTCTAGAAGCTGGAAAACAGCCACTTGTTAGTATAGTTATTGTAATTCTAATAAGAAAACTATTATGACTTACAGGCATGGGAAGGCTTTTGAACTTGGTAGCTATAACCACAAAGACTGGCATAGTTAAGGCATCGTCGGAACTCTTCTCCTTGTTGGCCTGCTCCACTCCCAGGCTGTGAACGATTCGCAGCATGCAATTATTTCTGGGCATAAACTCCAGCAGAAAGTTCAGGATGTGCTCCTGCAGCAGCGATATGCACACATAGCGACCTCCATTTCTAAACATAAAAAGGAGGCACATTTACTTTAAACAGTTAGTTTAGAATAATAACATGCAAACGAACCGCATGGTCCTCAGGATCTCCTTGAAGTAGTTCTCCACCACCTGCTTGGTTTCCTGGGCATCGTCCACAAACAGGGCATCCAGGGTACCCTTGTCCAAGGCCACCGAGAAGCTGTCGTCCGCAAATGTCATCGCTGTGGCATCCATTTGCAGGAATTTCATATCTGGTCGGGATTTGGCATTCAGGTCCAACATTTTCTTCACAGCAACGGGAGAGATGTCGATATTTGTGATGTCCCTTTGATAAATATGTAAGTGAATAATAACAATTATAAGTTTGAACTTTATAGGAACGATGAACATCATCCTCCTCCGTCAACTTAATAGTTTTTCGCGACAATTTGGTGGGGGATTGCCTTTGCCTCACACCGCACATCCTTACCGAAATCCCGTGTCGTACATGTCCATGCTCAACTTGGAGTTGCCGCATCCCAGCATCAAGATCTTGTCCGCCGGCTTGATGTACTTGTGTATCTGATCGCACAGCTCCAGATATTCGCCATACCTTTAATATAATTATTTTAAAATACGCAAAAAACACATGTTGCTTGCTGTGGAGAGTCGCTCCAATAAGTAATTTCTAGAATACCTACCACTCGAAGGCCTTCTCTCCACGCTTCTTGAAAAACTCGTTCCAGTAGTCTGTCTGGGCGAATTCCTCGCGAGTTTTCGGCAATAAATTCATTGTTTAATAACAAAAAATAAACAATAAAGCGGCAAAATGTGCAGCGCTCGGAAAGTGCAGTGTGACCGCCTGCTATTCTGCTTCTATACAAAAAGTACCAAAATATCCCAAAATGGCCACGTTCCCCTGCGAATGTCATATCCAGCGGAAGAAGAAGAACATCAACACGTGCCGCTTACTTTTGTTTTTCTCGAATTGCTGAAGAAAAATGGTTAAAACTAAGCGCAAGGCCGCACCTCCGCCTGTGGAAGAGGACTCAGACAGCGATTCCAGCTTTTCTGAGTTGGGGCCCGAGGACGTGGAGTTCCATGACGAGGAACCAGACAGCAGCGACGATGAAGCCCCATCCACGAGCAAAAAACAGCCAAAAGCGGATCAGGATGCAGCAGACGCTGACAAAGAGGGCCAGAATGAGGATGATGACGAAAATGAAGATGATGACGACGAGGAAGAGGAGGATGACGATGAAGAGTTCGACAAGACGCCGCGCCTGCCAGTTCTCAATCCTCTCAGCTTAATGCGAAACAAGGAACAGCGCATGGCGCTCTTCAAAAAGATGAAGAAGGAAAAGCATAAGAAGAAAATGCAGGAGCGCCGCGCCAGACGCAAGGCCGGACTTCCTGCCAATCCTGGCCACACGATCGAAAGCCTGCGCGAGAAGGACCAGACAGAGGTGGCCAATCTGAACGACTCGGACAACGAAGAGCTGCAAAAGGAGCTGGAACTGGACGATTTCAGTTCGTACTTCGAGCGCTCCTATGAGCCCAAGGTGCTGATCACCTTCGCTGACAATCCTGTGACCAAGACGCGCAAGTTCGGCCTAGAACTGTCGCGTATTTTTCCAAACGCCCTGGTCAAGATCAGGAACAAGTCGTCAGTTAAGAAGATTTGCAAGAGCGCTGAGCGCGAGGAGTTCACCGATGTGGTTATTGTCAACGAGGATCGCCGGAAACCAAATGGCCTTCTGGTCATCCACTTGCCCAACGGTCCCACCGCCCACTTCAAGCTGTCCAATGTGAAGCTGACATCGGACATAAAGCGCGATCACAAGGAGATCACAAAGCACCGACCGGAGGTGATTCTCACAAACTTTACGACTCGTTTGGGTCTGACAGTGGGCCGCATGCTGGGCGCCCTGTTCCATCACGATCCAGAGTTTCGAGGCCGTCGCGCCGTGACGTTCCACAACCAGCGCGATTATATATTCTTCCGCCACCACCGCTACGAGTTCACCAAGGAGGGCAAGCGCGTTAAGCTGCGGGAACTGGGACCGCGATTCACCCTGAAGCTGCGTTCCCTGCAGGAGGGAACCTTCGACAGCAAGACGGGAGACTACGCCTGGATCATCAGCAACAAGCGGCATGCCATGGAGTCGCGCAGACGCTTCTTCCTTTAGCTGGATTTCCATGCTTTGTATTTAGTTATAATGGTAACGTAAATAAACCAAAAGATAATACAATTGACGACTTTTCTTGAGGAGAGTTGTAACCAAAAGCGACCGCCACATTGTTTCGTCGGGAGTTAAATAAAATACAAATTGCTTAGCCTAAATGTGCAACACTCAACAGTTAACCAATTGGCACACCACGAGACGAACGGTCTCCGCCACCGACTACATGGTGGGGCACTGGGGATTGGGACCGCCGACACCGGCAACAGCGGCTGTGGGATCGGCGAAGGGCAGGTCGCCGCCCGTCTCAGCCAGAATCTCTGGCGGAGGCTGTCCATAGTCCTGCAGCTTTCGCATGTCGTCCAGCACCACGCGGAACTTCTCCCGCTTCACGGCGGCCGAATCATCAGGCTTCTCGCTCTGTAAATGCCCCTCAATCACCTTGTACAGCTCCATTTGTTTCTGGTACCTGCAGAGATCGGATTTCACAGTTAGTGTTTATTCGTGGATTATAGCTTTTCTGCGCTCACCTCTCCTTGTCCTCCGCCGACAGCTTGGCGTCGTTCTCCTCAAGGTACTTCGGGTACTTCTCCAGCAGCTCCCGAATGCTGGGCAGTAGGATCTCCGCAGA